CCAGTAGATGGCAGTAATGCAACTTTTTGGATGCCAGCTGCCAATAAAATCCAAAGAAGAAGAAGAAGAAAGGAAAAAATAAAAATAAAATAAATAAATAAATAAATAATAATAATTAATAAAAGTTTAGTTCTCTCTTCTTACCACTGGATGGCGACAGCGCGCACGTATCGTTGTTTGCTTCCAAAAAAAAAAACAGCGAAGAAGAAAAAGCGGAAGCCGGAGAGAGAGAGTGGGGGACACACGAGAGAGCAAAGTAACCACGGTACAAATGTGCACATTTTAAAGACCCTGTGTAGATATTTAATCACTCGTGTATTTTAAAAAGCATCAGAGCTGTTGTTCTACGAGTTAAAAACAAGTCGTAGCTCACGAAGACGAACAGAAATGTTTAATATCGAGTCAGCTGATAGCATATTAGCTCTGAGCTAACCTCGCTAACAAACATTACAATAAACAACCTGCTTCAGAAGACACACTCACTTTGTTCTCACATGCAGAAGACTTTAAATATAAGTATGTTGAGGATACAAATCACGCCTTTATATTGTGCAAATCAAAGACTTTATTTAACTACTTTTAAGGTGTTAGCAGGCCATGTCAGTGAATGGTCATTGTTCTCATTTGTTACTTTTCTGTGAATGTTTGAGCTCCTCATGTCCGATCACATCTTATCTTAAACCCTCTGTGTGTGTTTGGGCAGATGGGGGACAGCGATGATGAGTACGATCGCAGGAGAAGAGACAAGTTTCGTCGGGAGAGGAGTGACTATGATCGGTCCAGAGAGAGAGAGGAGCGACGCAGAGATGACTGGAACGACAGGTGAGAAAGAAACAGGTGGAAAAAAGACCAGAGATCTGCAGAAACAGGACAAAGAAAAGGTGGAAAGAGACCAGAGAGATGCAGAGACCAGAGAGATACAGAAACAGGAAAAAGAAAAGGTGGAAAAGGACCAGAGAGCTACAGAAACAGGACAAAGAAAAGGTGGAAAAAGACCAGAGAGATGCAGAAACAGGACAAAGAAAAGGTGGAAAAAGACCAGAGAGATGCAGAAACAGGACGAAGAAAAGGTGGAAAAAGACCAGAGAGATACAGAAACAGGACAAAGAAAAGGTGGAAAGAGACCAGAGAGATGCAGAACAGAGAGATACAGAAACAGGACAAAGAAAAGGTGGAAAAAGACCAGAGAGATACAGAAACAGGACAAAGAAAAGGTGGAAAAAGACCAGAGAGATGCAGAAACAGGACAAAGAAAAGGTGGGAAAAGACCAGAGAGATGCAGAAACAGGACGAAGAAAAGGTGGAAAAAGACCAGAGAGATACAGAAACAGGACAAAGAAAAGGTGGAAAGAGACCAGAGAGATGCAGAGACCAGAGAGATACAGAAACAGGACAAAGAAAAGGTGGAAAAGACCAGAGAGATACAGAAACAGGACAAAGAAAAGGTGGAAAAAGACCAGAGAGATGCAGAAACAGGACAAAGAAAAGGTGGAAAAGACCAGAGAGCTGCAGAAACAGGACAAAGAAAAGGTGGAAAAAGACCAGAGAGCTGCAGAAATAGGACGAAGAAAAGGTGGAAAAGACCAGAGAGCTGCAGAGACCAGAGAGATACAGAAACAGGACAAAGAAAATGTGGAAAAAGACCAGAGAGATGCAGAGACCAGAGAGCTGCAGAAACAGGATGAAGAAAAGGTGGAAAAGACCAGAGAGATGCAGAAACAGGACGAAGAAAAGGTGGAAAAAGACCAGAGAGATGCAGAAACAGGACGAAGAAAAGGTGGAAAAAGACCAGAGAGATACAGAAACAGGACAAAGAAAATGTGGAAAAAGACCAGAGAGATGCAGAAACAGGACGAAGAAAAGGTGGAAAAAGACCAGAGAGATGCAGAAACAGGACGAAGAAAAGGTGGAAAAAGACCAGAGAGATACAGAAACAGGACAAAGAAAAGGTGGAAAGAGACCAGAGAGATGCAGAGACCAGAGAGATACAGAAACAGGACAAAGAAAATGTGAAAAAGACCAGAGAGATGCAGAAACAGGACGAAGAAAAGGTGGAAAAAGACCAGAGAGATACAGAAACAGGACAAAGAAAAGGTGGAAAGAGACCAGAGAGATGCAGAGACCAGAGAGATACAGAAACAGGACAAAGAAAAGGTGGAAAAGACCAGAGAGATACAGAAACAGGACAAAGAAAAGGTGGAAAAGACCAGAGAGATGCAGAAACAGGACAAAGAAAAGGTGGAAAAGGACCAGAGAGCTGCAGAAACAGGACAAAGAAAAGGTGGAAAGACCAGAGAGCTGCAGAAATAGGACGAAGAAAAGGTGGGAAAAGACCAGAGAGCTGCAGAGACCAGAGAGATACAGAAACAGGACAAAGAAAATGTGGAAAAAGACCAGAGAGATGCAGAGACCAGAGAGCTGCAGAAACAGGATGAAGAAAAGGTGGAAAAAGACCAGAGAGATGCAGAAACAGGACGAAGAAAAGGTGGAAAAAGACCAGAGAGATGCAGAAACAGGACGAAGAAAAGGTGGAAAAAGACCAGAGAGATACAGAAACAGGACAAAGAAAAGGTGGAAAGAGACCAGAGAGATGCAGAGACCAGAGAGATACAGAAACAGGACAAAGAAAAGGTGGAAAAAGACCAGAGAGATACAGAAACAGGACAAAGAAAAGGTGGAAAGAGACCAGAGAGATGCAGAGACCAGAGAGATACAGAAACAGGACAAAGAAAAGGTGAAAGAAAAGGTGGAAAAAGACCAGAGAGATGCAGAAACAGGACAAAGAAAAGGTGGAAAAAGACCAGAGAGATGCAGAGACCAGAGAGATACAGAAACAGGACAAAGAAAAGGTGGAAAAAGACCAGAGAGATACAGAAACAGGACAAAGAAAAGGTGGAAAAAGACCAGAGAGATGCAGAAACAGGACAAAGAAAAGGTGGAAAAAGACCAGAGAGATGCAGAGACCAGAGAGATACAGAAACAGGACAAAGAAAAGGTGGAAAAAGACCAGAGATGCAGAAACAGGACAAAGAAAAGGTGGAAAGAGACCAGAGAGATACAGAAACAGGACAAAGAAAAGGTGGAAAGAGACCAGAGAGATGCAGAAACAGGACAAAGAAAAGGTGGAAAAAGACCAGAGAGATGCAGAAACAGGACGAAGAAAAGGTGGAAAAGACCAGAGAGATGCAGAAACAGGACAAAGAAAAGGTGGAAAAAGACCAGAGAGATGCAGAAACAGGACTCAGTAAAAACCATGATGCAGCCACCACGTCTCAAACTGAAGGACCTATTGAAAAGGAAATACCTGCAGAAACAGGACTCAGTTCTGCCCTGCAAAGGCAAAAAAGACCTGAACTCAGCCAGAGTGTAGAACTGAGAAAAATTATGTTAAAGTCTTTTTGTTGTCCAGCCAAATGAGTTGCAGACAGAATATTGGACATGTGGCAAATCAGGTTTTAATGTACATAAAAATCTTTAGCTCAAACATGACCTTTGACCCTTATTTGGAAGTTAAGGTACTCTGCCTTTGCATTGCCTGTACAATAATAACGGGTCATGTCAAGGCAAAAGGCAGTAACTTCCATTTGATACTGTATTTCACTTGGTTGGTTAAAATAACACAACCAAACACTATTTCTTTGCTACACTTTAGTCAAGCTGCTGTGTGTGTTGATGACAGATATTAAAACAAAGGCATAACACCTTAACTCCACTGCAATGTGGCTGTGGGGTCCCTCAAGGCTCCATTTTAGGCTCCATTTAGGCCCCATTCTTTTTTCTTTATATTTGCTTCCCCTGGGGTCCATATTTAAAAAGTACAGCATTTCTTTCCATTGTTTTGCAGATGACTTGCAAGTCTACCTACCTTTTTAAAAACGAATGAAGAATCCTGGAATGACATGCTTAACTGTTAGAAAGATGTCTCTGATGTACGGCGCTTTGGATATAAGCGTCTGCTAAGTGAATTGTAGAATTTTTGAGATTAATAAAATATTTTTTGAGTGTTTCTCACCGAATTCATGTTACTTCCTTTTCCTCAAATGTTTTAGGGAGTGGGACAGAGGTAGGGAACGTCGTAATCGCGGAGAGTATCGGGATTATGACCGAGGTCGCAGAGAGAGATTCAGCCCGCCCAGACACGACATGAGTCCACAACAGAAACGCATGAGAAGAGACTGGTGAGAGCATTGTTATAACACATGCACAGTGTGTGTTTCTTGTATCTACTGTGACTTATGCTCTTTGACTTGACCCTGGCAGGGATGATCATGGTGGAGACCCGTATCGTGGGGGATACGACGTGGGTTATGGTGGCGCTGGAGGACCAAGTTATGGTCCACCACAGCACTGGGGCCATCCTGACATGCACCTCATGCAGCCTCATCATGGTATCCCCATTCAGGCAAGGTGAGAGACGAAATCAGGGCTGAGGCGGCCGTCGTTCTGAACTTTAAATTCTTCCTAAATTATTGAATTTAAAGTTTTCAGTAACTGTTAAAACTATTAGATAAATCAGAGAGGATCCATGTGGAATAATTCATCAGTAGGTTTTGTCTTCTGATATTGCACAACTAATGCAAAGAATAAAAAACCTTTCTAACTTCGCTCTGCTCCTTCAGGCTGGGGAACATCCATGACATGGATCTAGGCCCTCCACCTCCCATAATGAAGACCTTTAAGGAGTTCCTACTGTCTCTGGACGATTCTGTGGACGAGACCGAGGCTGTCAAACGCTACAACGAGTACAAGATCGACTTCCGCCGTCAGCAGATGCAGGACTTCTTTTTGGCTCATAAAGATGAGGAGTGGTACGATCTCAGTTGTTTTCACTACAGACGTCCTATTCATGCATACTTTCTTGCTTTTTATTTAGCTGCTCTTTCTTCTCTTATAACAGTCATTTAGTCGATTGATTTTCATCTCCACATTTTTTACAGTGTCTCTTCTTTAGCTCAACATTCATATCATTTTTTAAAGATATAATTACATGTTGGTTCTTTTAAAATGACCTATCTAAACAGTTCAAGCCTGGTCCTATGGTGGGTGTCTCGTGGTGTACACAGATAGTGTTGCAAGATAAACATTTGCTAGTTACCATGGCAACATTATACTCTACCTTCATGTGAGGCTTATAACAAATCTCGTGTTCTTAACAAGCGAGCCCATTGGCAACTACACCCATGTACGAGGACCAGGCCTAAACTCCTCGTTTGTTTATTACCTTTTGATACAGTATTTATATTGACAGAAGAATCTCAACCCAAATTCATCGCGCATATTACTCCTTTTATTTATTGTTAAATTGACTTAGCTGAGACAGAAGGCGTTGATTAAACTTCTTCCTGCCACAGTGACTCAGCAGGTCAGAATCACAGCGTTGCATTCTTCCTATGTCCTGCAGCAATTTGAGTAAACAGCTCTTTATTCTTTTTATTTACAAACAGCTTGCTCTGATTGTTTGGGTTGATTTTCTTTTCATTTGGCTTTTTAACTTTTACAAAATTGCAAAGTTGTTTAATGCCTGTTAATGCTTATGACACTTATTTCACAGGTGTCATGCAATCTTGTTTTGCTTGATATAACCAATTCCCTCCCCCCCTTCATTTCCCACTACTACGAGGAGAAACAGTGGAGCGCATCAGCAAGAATCGGTCTTAGACAGCAAGGGCAGCACTGCGCACAATGCAGTGCTCTTAGACTCACAGTACCAGGGATTTTAGATAGACAGTCAAGTACACTATCGCGCGCGGAGACCTTTTTTTTTTCTTCTTTTATGCTTTTTTCTACACCATTTTCTTTTTATATTCGGATCAAATCGAATCCCAAAACCGAATTTGTGTGTACAGACACCATTGGGGTGAAGTGGAGCGCAGTTTCACAGAAGAGACCCCCTCTCTGTATTTATATGTTAATAAACTGGCAGAGCGAAAGGTAACTGTAGTCCACTCAATGATCAACATTTCTAATGTGACATTTTGAATATGTGAATGCAAAATTTTCATAATCTCTCTGTTGTGTTTTTCTCTTAAATTTTTGGTGAGTTAATCTCTCACATGGCAATAATTTTCAAAATAATCACCAGGCCAAACACTGCATACACTAAATGAAAGACTGAAATCACAGCCTTATTCACACCAGTCTGTTCAGCGACTGAATTTGGAATTTGTAACTTTTTCCAAGCACACACCTCACCCATCATTATTATCTGAAATTGACAATTTTAAAATGCAAATACACCATATTGCCCAGTGCCATTTTCTGACTCAACAGTTTCAACATGGATATATAATATGTATTTGTTTTCTAACTTTTACATCCCGTTCATCCCAACTCCCCCCGTCATTCCCTCCCCACTCTTTTGTGGACCCAAACTCCGGACACAGGTTCAGGTCCAAGTATCACCCAGACGAGGCCAGCAGGCTGAAGGCAGAGGCTCAGAGCGCCCTGCACAACCGGCTCAATGTCTTCATGTTCCTGATCGAGAACAGCTGGTTTGATAATGTCTCCCTGGACATCGAACAGACCCCGGCCATCATCAAGGTTCTGGACGCAGGTGAGGCCCCCAAAATCTGTTTTAATTTAATTTATTTTTTTCCATTCTCTTTTCTTTTCTTTTTTTTAAACATAACAATATTTAATTCGAGGGATGCAATTCTTCAGGATTTTCTGACCTGGAAAGTTGACCCACAAGACTTAATTTATTCATGAAAGTGTTCCCCACACAGATCGTGTCACAAACCGTTTTTCCATTTTCTTTTCTTTTTTTATCCACGTACGATTGCCTTATAAGATCGACAAACTAGAGGACGATCTGAACTCGCTCTCTAGGGCTCATGTTGGTGTTGTGAGTGGTGTCTGTCACCTGTTCTGCAGCTGATCAGAGAGAGACAACACACACTGATACGTCTCTCCTTGATTGTTGTACGTCTCGTTTAATATGAACCTTTAGTAGTTTTTTTGGTCATTTTTATGCAGCTGTTTGCTGCCGATGTTATTATACACTCTCTTACTTTTGCCAAGTCTTTAATAACAAACCTTTTCATAAGATGCTCACCTGCTGTGATAACAAAAGCAGGTGTTGTTTTGGCGACATTATGATAAGTACTTCTTTTGAAGAGTGTCAGACACATACAGGCAGAGATAAAGGATTAGAGGCAGATGTCGAGGTCCTGACCTTATAATTTAAAACATCTGGATTATTTAACGGTATAAATAATCAGGATGTTGCCACTCCTTCCAGTTACTGCCATCAGGCAGACACTACAAAGTCCCTCTGGCCCGGAAAAACATCTACAAAAAATCCTTCATTCCCTTTGCAATTACCATTCTGAACAAAATCAAATAGACCCCCCCTTTTTAGAAACTGTTGTTTTTAAGTCCTCTTTCAATGTACTGCACTTTCTGTTTTTAATGTAAGTTGTGTTTATTATTCGAGCCTTGTCACCGGAGAATTTCTGTCTCTGTTGGGACAGACAATAAAGTATATCTATCTATCTATTCCCATGCATGCTGTTCATATTGATCTCAGTCAGCAGCTCTCACTGCAGACAGGGGTGATGAGATACAAAGCTTACAGGGATGCTTTGTCCCGACCCCTCTATTCCAGCCTTTTTGTCCTTTGTCAATCAAACTCCTGTTATTTAACACTGAATAGTACCTCAGAAGAAGACCCTTTAATCAGTGAAATATTTTGTAACTTATGCCGACCTTCCTGCTTTCAGCTGTGATAAAGATGGAGGGAGGTACTGATCATGACCTTCGCATTTTGGACCTGCCAGCTGAAGAGGAGGAAGAGAGGGAGAAGTCCACATCAGTTTCAGGAGGCGGTGACCCTCCCAAGAGAGAAGACGTCAAAACCTCAGACGGAGACCGGAAACCTTCTGTGGAGAAAGACAAGAACGAGAAGGTATATTCTGCTCTCTTCAGGGTTTCGATAATGATTTCTCTGAGCTCCGTTAATGACGGTTAACTTTGCCACAGGAGGAGAGTAACTGTGCCAGCCCAGAGAAAGCTGCTGCAGCAGAGGAGGGGGAGGATGTGAAGGAAGAGGCGGAGAAAGAAGATGCCAAAGACCAATTGCCTGAACCCAAAAAAGTAAACAGTGCTTTCATTATTAAGTTGATTTACTTTGAAGAGACGCAACCAGAAAGCTCTAATTGTTGTTTTTTTATTCATCAGCCGAGAAGAAAGAGGAAGCGCAGTGGAGACAGTGACGATGAAGGCAGCGCCTCCGAGAGCGACTCTGACTCGGATTCAGACTCTAACTCGAACTGCTCTGATAAACCTGTGAAGAAGGAAGCGGTAGAAGACAAGGATGACGAGGAGGAGGAGGAGGAAGAAGGCGAAGGTAAGAAATCAAATCACAAAAGTCCAAATCGTCTCAAAACATTGGTCTTTGTTTACGGTATTCAAAGACTTTTCCCCCTCCTGTTCCCTCTACCCGATCTCAACGTTCACAGAAGAGACACCAAAGGAGAATGCCGAAGAGGACAAGAAAGAAGAAAAGAAGCCCAAAGACGACTCTCCCAGACCGCGGCCTCTGCACAGGACCTGCTCCCTGTTCATGAGGAGCATCGCCCCCACCATTTCCAAGGCTGAGATAATAGCTGTGAGTAGTTCACAGGCTGTAGCGTGTATGACCCAGAGGATGAAGGATCACACACACGGCATTGATTGAAATGTGTTTTAACTGAATTATTTATCGCTTTCTTCTCTCAGCTTTGCCGGCGGTACCCTGGATTTCTGCGTGTTTGCTTGTCTGACCCCCATCCAGAGCGCAGGTTGGTTAAGAAACCCTGCATTTTTAAAAAGTCTCACACTGAAAATGAATACACAGTATTCCTAAAACAAACACTGTGCTGTTGCAGGTTTTTCAGACGTTGCTGGGTGACGTTCGACCGCAGCGTTAACATCAAAGAGGTTTGCTGGAACCTTCAGAATATTCGAGTAAGTTTTCCATTGTTAACAATCGACTGTCGTTTTTGAGTGATGCTTATTATTTTAGTTACAGCAGAGAGAGAGAGAGACTCTGTACATGCGGGAGGACGATTAACCGCTAGGCCATTGGCGCCCCATCTGTGCTGCTTTTCTCCCTTACTCGGTCATAATCACGCATTTAAAGAAAACGGTGGTATACTGTCAGACTCCTCGGTTGAAGACAACATGTGACCAGCGGCAGCACAACTCTAGGTGGATTGGTCACAGGCTATGCGCTCAACTACCATACCAGCAGTAGCTAGCGGGATTGTAAAGATCTACACAGCTCCACAGGAAAGACACTTTAAACCTTTATTCCCTCCGGGAGACCCCTAAAAACTGAATGTGTTTTATGTAACTTATGTAGCGGACTTTACGGTAATTGTAATGGAACAATTTCCCGTTGCAATGAGGGAGTCAGAGCAGCTTTGAAAGCATGTGTTTAAAACTAATGCTTCAAAGCTTATCTAAACATGTTGCACTCGGGGGAGCCTCTGATGGTTATTGCTCCCGTCTTTATTAGTAGTATAGTCTGCTAAATATCCGTAGAGGCCATTAAACGTCTGTTTAACTCTCTACCCTTCACAGCTGAGAGACTGTGAACTAGCACCCGGGGTGAACAGGGACCTGGCCCGGAGGGTGCGTAACGTTAACGGCATCACTCAGCACAAGCAGGTGCTCCGCAATGACATCAAGCTGGCTGCCAAGCTCATCCATGCCCTGGATGAGAAAGGAGACCTGTGGAGCAACAAGGAGGAGGGGCAGAGTGCAGAGGTACAGCACTGATCCCCTTTAGTTCTGATGTTGTATTTCTGCCTCGTGAAATCCACACACAGATTGTTTTCTCCAGATCTTATTGTGACGTTTTCATCCATGTGTTTTGTGATTTGATAAGCGGCCAGCTCAGAACCCCATCCTGAAGAATATCACAGATTACCTGATAGAGGAGGTGAGCGCTGAGGAGGAGGAGCTGCTTGGTTCTGGGAGCGGGATGGAATCTGAGGAGAGCGTCAAGGAGGGAAACCCTGCTGAGACCACGGTGGAGAGGGACGACAAGCTAGCCAAGGTCTGACCTTCTATAATAATGTCTTAGATAAATCTGCCCTGTTTTTGTTCTGTGGCTGACTGTAATTAACAACTTTAGTCAAGTAGGAATGGACGTCCAGTTTTTGAAGTTTCTTTGCCATCTCCCTCCTTCAGGTTTTGGATCGGCTGCTCTTGTATCTGCGAATTGTGCATTCAATTGACTACTACAACACCTGTGAATACCCCAGTGAGGATGAAATGCCAAATCGCTGCGGCATGATCCATGTTCGTGGACCCATCCCTCCCAACCGCATTGCACATGGAGAAGGTCAGTGTTAGACTTTCCTGTCCCTTAAACGTGGAGGAGGAGTTGTTAGGATGAGGGGAAGTGAAGAAGGTTTCTGTGTGACCGTAGCTCTGATGCAGGATAATCTCGATGTCGCCATTGAGCACCAGCATTAAACCAAAACAAAATGCTGTTTGGCGACACCTCAGCTATTCTGAAGCCTCCCCTCTCCTCCAATGGCACACCTCGCATTCTCAGCAAGGAGTTATCAATTAGAAAGCGCCATAATTCAGCACCATTAAGCACAAGCGAGCTGCAATTCCCTTGGTCCTGCATTGTTGTTAGCATGCTAATGTTAGCACACTTTGGTTAGCTCGTAGCTTCTATTGCACATAAATTGACACTGAATGACAGAGATCCAAACACACTCAATCAGTGAGTATGTTCTTCTTTTCTCGAGTCCTTGACTGAAACAGCTTTTATACACAAGGGGAGGAGCCGGCCGTCCCGTCCATTTAAACACGGCCTGACAACAACACAGCCAGCGGGACTCGAGCTTCTCACTCATTGTAGACAGTCATGACTCAGAGACATTCACAGAGGATATACTTGATTGCTTCTGTATTTGTCGCAAATTTAATTGGACTACAGTTTTCTATTGCACTATTGTGTCCGGCTGCTATTTCATAAAAATGAACACATAACTATCCTAGATGTTTTGATAAATGCAGCAGTGAGTAATACACTGCCTACTGTTATTTGCAATTGTTGTTAACCTTAAAAACATTATTTATAATGACAAACCTGTTGACTGCTTAATAAACTTTTTCTGTCGTCTCCAAACAGTGCAACAGTGGCAGAAGATGGTAGAGGAGAAGCTGAGTCCTTTGTTTAGCTTAAAAGAAATCCTGTCCGAAGACGAGGCGGCCAAGATGGGCCGCAAAGACCCTGAGGACGAGGTGGAGAAGTTTGTGTCTGCAAACACTCAAGAGCTGGGAAAGGACAAGTGGCTGTGCCCGCTGAGTGGAAAGAAATTTAAGGTGAGTGCAGCAAAGTCTTCAAAACTGTAAAACACATTTACATGATTCCATGACTAGCTCGAGATAATAAAGAACACATATACAGTATTATACCGTTTTTTTTTTCTTGAATGTTGCTCCGAGGGTTTTGTTTTCTTGAGTAATTTTTTTAATTGTTTGTAAATTTAAACTTATTTCAAGGGTCCAGAGTTTGTACGGAAGCACATCCTGAACAAACACGGGGACAAAATTGAAGAAGTTAAAAAAGAAGTGTCGTTCTTCAACAATTTCCTGATGGACGCAAAGAGACCGTCTCTGCCAGAGATCAAACTTCCTCCGCTTCCAGGCCCAGGTCAACGTCTACACAACATTTCACACAGATGCAGGAATTTAGAACAAAAGGGATCGAATTGTTTAAAAAGTCAACTTTTTATCCTTTGGTTCGTTACAGGTTTGCTTTCTCCCAACATGCCGTTTCCTCCTCAAGGTCCTCAGGGTCCAATGGGCTTTGGGCAACCTCGCCCCCCGCTGATGGGCTACGGAGGTGCGTTCACTGACTGTACTGTTTATTCTCAAACTGTTCTTCTATCAGATCTCTTCATTTGAGTCTCTCCCCCCCAACAGGTGGTCCCCCTTACCCCCCTAACCAATATGGTGGAGGGGGAAGAGGTAACTATGACAACTTCCGGGGACAGGGTGGCTACCTGGGGAAGCCACGCAACATCAGGTGAGACCACTGTACGTCTTGTTCTTATTTTCTCGATTTTTTTGCTATGAATTAAGTTTGAACCTCTTTTTTAATGATCATTTTCCTTCGTTCCCCTTTTTTCCACAAACTATCTAAGAATGTCACGAGGCGACCCCCGCAACATCATCGAATATCGAGACCTGGATGCACCAGATGACATGGACTTCTTCTAAAAGGTTCCCTCTCCGTCTTCGCCCTCGATTTGTGTCACAATGTGTTTTTTTATTTTTTTTGTAGTGATTAGCTTATTTCTTTTCTTGAATATCTTTTCCTAATTATTGTGCAACTAGAACAAACTTCTCATGCGAACTGGTTCCTCAATAAAGTTGTGATCTAACTACCTTCAGAGACGGTTGGGTTGGTCGTCTTTCAATGGAAAGGTTTGGCGGTTCGATGCCCACCTCTCATGCAGCAATGAAATGTCCTTTGGGGGAAGACACTGAACCTCAGATTGTGTGAAAGCTTTTAAATGGACTCTTACTTTAGACACGTCTGCTGTCAGTGTGTGAATGTGTGTGTAAAGGAGTGAATGTGACATGTAGTGTAAAAACGCTCTGAGTGGTCAGAACACTTGAAACACTGTCTTTAAGTACAGTCATTACATGTTTAAAGAAACAAATCAGTGACCTAAAGCTGATCAGATCACCTGAATAATACAAAAACAATCGGCTGGTTAAACTTTCACAAGACAAATCTGAAGGTTGGCATGAAGCACACCTTCAGATAAAATATAAATGACATTTTGTTTTACGTGTTCTCTATTTGTTCTTAGTTAATATTCATATTATTGTGCACATGTGAGTAGTATTGTAGAAGAATTCCTGAGGAGTGTTGAGTGGTTGCCCTCTAGTGGTTAAAACACAGAATTACACATTTCTGCTGAACATTTAGTGCCTCAGAAGTAAACTTGAAAACTGCAGTGATACAAGAAATATGCAGTAAACTTTTTAGTCAAAGTAATAATCCCCATTTTCAAATACTCTAATAAATAATTAAGCGTACAAGTTCTGGTTGGGAAGTTGGTCCTGGCCCATAATGTGTTAAAAGAAAAGCTTCAGTACACCTGCTCTCCTGTTAATATCGAAGTTTGTTTACAAGATTGTTCTGGTCAAAACAGGCCGCAGCACATTTAACAAGTTACAGACAGAACCAACAGAGCGATCACAGACTTGGGTCTCCCCAAGACATAAATCCTCATGCAGGAGACGCGAACCCGAAACTCATTTTCCCCCATTTCAAGACGCACTTTGGGAAGAGATCACAAGTTTTGTGACTGTGACTTCCAGCACATTTCACATAAATAAAATGACACACGTAGGGGCCAAACATGTCAAGAATAGCTTTATAAATAAGGACATGCCAATGATTTTAAGAAGACACAACGCAGGCCAGCCAACTCAACTATACGGATTACAGTGATGAGTCAGTGCCCTGCAGCAAAGGGAAAACAAGACTAATTTCTGCAATAAAAACCAAGCCGCAACTTTTTTTACGAGTTGCTGAATAACAAGCTTTAAAGACAGCGTCTCATCAATTAAGATGACTGTCAGCAGAGTTACACATTTTGACAGTATTTTATTTGATGCATCTTTCTTCACAAATATTTATCAAAAACAGTCCAGATTTAGGAAATCAAAACTACTGCAAAGTAAGACAAAGTTGTCCCAGTTGTGTAATTATTGAAGGCCCATGTTTTTGTTAAATATTCTCAGAAACAGACTGAGCCTGCTGTGTGAACACAAACCTGCAGGCCTGAAGTGTTGTGTGTGATCATTTCCATCTTACAAAAGCAATTCAGGAAAAAAAACAGCCACACAGTTTTATCTCCCAAGTGTCAAATCTAAATAATCTGAAGCTTGTGATTCTCAGAAAGTCCACAGCTGACTTTGTGTTGGTGGAATAACTCGGTCAGAGCGTCCATGTAGAGGTTGTGATAGTGGTCGACCTCCTCATCAGTAGGCGTGGTACGCTTCGGCACTGAGATTGGACTTCCCACTAGAAGAAGAAGCAGCGTGTTAGAAGAATAGAGAGTTGGCTCGGTGAGTAATGTTTGTGCACAGAATAATGAAACACTCACCCACGGTGGTGACTTGAGACTTGTAGGGCATGAACGCCATGCGCTCGCCGACAAACAGACACGGGGCGAAACCCATGATCTTTTTAAACAAATCCTGTAACCTCCGACCCAGGCTGCCATCGGAGAAAATCACCTGCCGAAAGAGGTCATTCTCCCCGAATGAGTAAACAGGAACCAGATCAGCCCTGTGGAGCATCAACAGAGATTACATCCACGTGTGTGTGTGTGTGTGTGTGTGTGTGTGTGTGTCACATGTGAGTATACAAAGACTCAATGATGACAGATTCCATGTGTTTGATTGAAGGAGTCTTCTCACCCAGACTCAAGAGCCACTCTGACAAATCCTTTTCTCTTCTTCATGACGACTGTGTTCATTCCAGGAGAGGACGCCAGAGACTCGGCAGCGCCCCCTATCACGATCACCACAGCATTTCCTTTGCCCTTCTGTGAGAGGAGGTAGGCAAGGCTCGGCTTGCTGACCGGATAAAGACCTGATAGTGAGGCGGTAGCAACAAATAAGGTCAAACTCCTGCAGGGTGTGGTTTTGTTTTGAGACAAGAAACAAAGAGTCTAAAATGTCCTTTTGTGAAAAGAGCTGAAAACGCATCATGCATCAGAGACTGCAGGGTAACGAACGATACGATATGTCATCCACAATAACATTACGGTACAGCGATTATGTGATAATTGACAATCCTAATGATAAATCATGATATCTGATTCACTGAATATTATAACATCCCTCCCAAACTGTAAGCTTCACCTTCACATCTTATCACACTGGACCCTGTTTTTTCTTTGGTTATCCTCATTTATGTCATAAGCTCCACCATGAGGAGTCATGATGGCAGAGAAGTCATTTTTTAAAATGCAATATTGATATTTGGCACCAGCAATTAGATAATAGCATCACACGAGTCAGGGCGACAATATATTGCCGTATCAATATTTTGTCTCTCTGCATTCAGGATCTCCGTCACACAACCCCAACTAGATTTACAGATAACTTATATCTGGAACATGTTTCGAAAAACGTCCAGTTGTTTGATAAAAATAATATCTATAGAGCACTTTTCTAAAGTCATGTTTGAAGTTGCTAACAAGCCAAAAATAACACAAGCACATAAAACAAATAAAAAGGGAAATCAAAACCGGTAAAATCTATAAAACCCATAAAACCACAGCGTCACCAACAAACAGGACGGTCTAAAACTCAAGTGAAATGAGGAAAAGCTCGCTGATATAAGCATGCTTTAAGAAGAGATTTAGAAGTGTTCACAGTCTGCTGACCTGATTTCCTCAGGCAGCTCGTCTAAGAGCTCGAGGGCCTTAACTGTGTATGCTCTCTATCACCCCTAGTTTCCAGCCGAGCCTCAGAAACACATAAAAAAAAAAAAGACCTCTAATCGAGGATCCAAGGCAGCATACTGGTTCATATGTGACCAAGAGGTCAGATATGCAGCACAGGAGAGAGGCCATGATGAGCCTTCAGAGGTCAGCAGTAAGATCTTAAAATCGATGGGAGACTACAACGGGCATGATGGGGTCACTTGTCTTGGTCCTGGTTAAGAGTGTGATGATAATAATGGAGTGTAAAACGGTCTCTATATTTAAAGATGGTGCCAATGTTTCTAAGATGGTTAAAACAAGACTGCACTTGTTGTGTTGTGAGATGTTTAAAGCTTGAATTGCTATTAAACCAACGATGTGATGGGGTTAGAGAGGTTTTAAATACCTGCAGACATTATGTACTCCCTAAAGAGAGGGATCCTGAAGAGTCCAGCCAGTATAGCCAGGTTGGCCTTCACTCCAGGAAAGAGCTCGGTGAAGCCGCAGCTCTCCGTGCTGAAGCAGGTGAAGGCTCCAGCACTCATGATCCCATGAGGGTGACACCCCAGTATGTAGTTCTTGTTTGGGTTTAGCTCGGCCGTCTTCACCAACTGAGCAGGAGCAACAAAAAGACAGGAGGGGGGGGGAGTCAATTATTAGAGTCGATCTCTGCTGCTTGCCATTAAAAAAATCTTCTACTTTCTATGATTTAATTGAACAACAGATAAAAATAAATACTTAATGTTTGACTGAAAGCACTGATGATAGTTTGCTGATTAGAAGACTTTGTAATAAAAATGTTTACAACAACATTTTTTATCTCAAATATGTTTTTCCAACATCTTTGTATCTGCCCCATTCAAACAATAAAACCAGGAATTTATGACTGGGAGGATGACATGTCTTTACCTCAGGATGTTTTATGTCCTGTTTGTAATAAACCTCATTTCACTTTAACATTCATGGCCTCCGACAACCTTAAATCAGATCAGACCATGGGGACACCAAACGAGATGCAAAGTGAAACTTACCTTGACTGGGAAAAAATCTCTCAGGTGCTCCCAAACTTTCCATCTCCTCACAAATTGGTTCTTCATGCCCCCTGGTGGAGACATTAGGAATATTTGATACAGAATGTGTCCCTATTCGTCCCAAAATACTTTCTGTATACAGTAAGACATGTATTCTTTTATTTTTGTGTATATTTCTGTTTTCTGCACTGATTAAAAAAAATCAGAGTAAGAGGTTAATTCACACAGAAAAAGTAGCAAAATCATGTCTTAACAGTACCAGTACATGTTGGTGTTGCCCCTTAAATTTGCTAAACTGTAAAATGTTAAACATTGCAGGAACTGAAAACAGGTCAAACACTTTGTCAGTGAACAAGCTCCAGAAACAACATCAAAACAAATGATGATACTAGGGCCAGTTTAGGGACTGATACCGATATCGATATTAGGAAGAGAAAAAAATCGAATACCGATATATATTGGAAGAAATCTTTCTTAGATCTATCTTCAATCTGTAGATATATTTTCCCTATAATGCAGTTATCAAACACTTGAGGAAAAGATCTACAAGGAAGAAAAGATGGTGACTCAAATGGAAAGTAACTGTGCATATATGTACATCACCGCTTGACCCTCTACAACGATAACGCTTGTATAGCGCACTCTTCTGGTGGCAGCCAGAAAGAGAACTGCTAGTGTAATACTCAAATGAAATGCTATTCGACTGGTGAATGACTCTAATAATATCAGTGCATATCTGCGGCCGATAGTCACTGGATTTTCTGATATCGGCAGATATTATCGGCTGGCTGATTAATCGGTCGGGCTCTAGATGAAACTATCGTTTTTATTAAGGATATTTTATTTTAATTAATGTTTCCAGTTGTTTATATGTCCATGAAGCTGTTTAACCAAAAACCATAATACATACATACAGAGTGCATGATGGGAAAATATAGTCAATTAGCAAAACAAACTCAAAAAGGCATTTAGTGTCCATACTGACTTTTTTCTTGCATACAATTTATTTTGTCAATTCATCAGTGTGAACACACTACACATCCTGCTTGTTGTTACAATAGAGTTAGTGTATTCTTTTTAGTAAAGATGCATGAATAATGTCCTGTCCTTTACCTCTCTCAGGGGTGTGCCAGTCTATCACCAGCCAGATGAAGTAGAGAGTAGGGAGGGGCCACAGCGACGTGAACATCAGATACACCGTCAAGATGCTGCAAAATAATCCTGAAAATGTGCCAGGTTAATACATACCTTAGTCTAAGTTTCAGAGGTTACAAGACATATTTTCAATAAGTTAGGATGGTTTTACAGATGCAGTGAAAAGCTTGTGAAAGAACATTTACGCTTGTTGCAAATGTAATAGTTCAACATACTTTCTGGTGGTGTTTTTTATAAGATCATAAAGGGTGATTGTAGTGGGCTCTTACCTAAGAAGAGAAAGGTTAGCACCCATTGCAGAACACTTATTGCCTCCAAAAACTCCTTCCACTGAGTCTTCTCCTTAGTCATTCCTGCAACCTGGAGGCCATACGGTCAACATGCAGCATCAGTCACATTGAAAACAGAGACTTTCATTCAAGAGACGTCCCAGTTAAAAACGTCAGCACAAATGAATAGGTTCAAAGTTCTGTTGTCTGAAAAAGTATGACAGAGATCAGATTTAATCAGTAATCAGCACTTCAGCTTGTGATCTTCCTTGAGGGAAATCATGGGCTTTTCAAACATGCAAGGCATGCCGCAGCCCGATGAAGTGACTAACTCATGAAGAAGCTCAGAGGCCAACTTAGACAGTATTTCAATTTCATTCTTCTGAATAAAACTGCCTAGAAAGTACAACCACAAAACAACCTTCAGCTTAGCCTTAAGCAACCACATCACAAAACCATTTGAACTATCAAACACATTACCTGGTTAGAGTTTATTCCAAAGTTGTTGTTTTTTTAAATGGATGCAGATTCACCAGCTGAGAAAAAAGCACGACATGTTGCATGCACTTTGACCAGATCATGTAAAGCTGCTGATAACAAATCCACTCCCCCGATACTTTGACACACAAGCAGGCAAAGTCAGAGATAAACATGACAGAGGTTTATAGTCTGATAATTCAGAGATTGGATCTGTGTGCAGCGTCCTCAGGAGGGCATTCAATGATCACATCAGGGTTATAGTGTGTGGGCTCGGTCTCTTCAGCTCATGGTCACTCTAGTGGCCAACATGGTTACGTGTCACTTTGTTGTTGTGCTGGTCGTCTTCAGCTTCAGGTTTTCTCCTGCATGTTATTTAAACCGTGCTGATATAAAACACACTCTCGTTTCATCGCACCAAGGTCAGGGTTCCAGTTTGTCTCATACAAAAAGTTACTCTCTGATGAAGGTTACAGTAGACACTTCCTGCACACCTTTCTCAAAGTGAAACAAATCTGCAATCTGCACAAAATGACTTTTAATGTAAAATAAAAGAGAGGAAACAGTAGCAACAATATGCCAACATGGCTAATGTGTGCATTCTAACAAGGCTTACTGAGACATGGAGCCTTTATTAAACACTATTCACATCACAGCCACGCTTTTTGCAGCTTTTAAAAATGAATATGTATGCCATTAAAAAAAAGGGGGGGGGGGGGGGGGTTCTTTAAAGGCCTAGACACTTGCATGGTTTTTTTCAATAACCCTGAATGATTAGATTTTTAGTCTGGTGGAAATAAGGTGGAGCTTGTTGTGGAGCTTGGTGTCACTAAACTCTGAGAACCAATCAAATGGTGGCATTTTCAGTTGTCCCGCCTTATCAGGTGCAACAAAGTGAACAGCAGATGTCAGTCAAATGTAGTGTGTACACGCCCCACACAGTGCTGAGAAGAGGTTTCATCAGGCAGCTTAAGTGAAGGCACCTGTGCAGGTGAAATCTCCACATACAGAGGCAACATTTAACCTCACGCCAAAGAGAGGAGCTGACAAAGCTCATGCGACATGTAGGTGTTACAAAATATTAAAAGTTGATGCAGGAGTTGAATGTGGACACAAAAATACCAATATCAGCTTCTTATAACATGATTTGAAAGTAGTATTACGTAAACCCTGCACCACAGCTTTACTACTTAAGGCTCATCACAGCACATGTTTTTGATGCTCCTTGCATTAAACCGTGTATAAAAGCTAACTTTTACATTAGTGAGGTATTTTATAGATTGCAGATTTCTTAGAAACTGCTCTCACATTGTGGGACACACCAGTCAAAGCACATTTTGCACGAGACAAACCACCCTCTTCAAGTTTTTTACCCGTAAAAGAAATAATCTGAATCAATCTCTGAAATATTTTGATTCAACTTTCACCAAATGCCTTACCTGTTGGCTAAAATGACCCCTCACAGACAGACCCTGACCTCTAGATATTGCTGCACAGCTCTAAAGTCCAGTCATGATTGCTCTGATACAGATACTACACACGATTAGAGGTGTGTGTGTGTGTGTTTGTGTGTGTGTGTGTGTGTGTGTGTGTGTGTCAACAGAGAGCACACACTCCTAATCTCTCTCTGTTTTTAAAACTCGACGTTTCACTCTCTCAGCTGTCTTCACCTTTACATCTCCTGTGGACTTTAGGGGGCGTGTCTGCCTCACACAAGCCATGTGTTGCCTAGCTTGTCATGCCCCCCCCCCCAAAAAAAAAAAAAAAAAACAACACCACATTTATATGCTAAGGTAGACTTAAATAAGAAAACAAATTATTAAGCTGTGGTAAGAGTAACTTCTACACCCTTTAGTCATATTGTATTTTATTTACCCCCAACAGTCTTTAATTCAACTGAACCAAATGCTCATGTAAACACAGTCCAATCAAAATGTCCTAAAATTTAAATGAGAGCTTAGCCTACTTTATCTCTGTGGAATTCATGCTCTTACATTACATGCGTATTTTACGCTTAATAGTATTTTATCCCCTGTTACATCACAAGCACGATGATGTCCCATAGGAGATCATTTGGCTTTTGTTTTGTTTTTTTGTATTCTGGGTGAATAAAAGTAGTCTCCCGTTTTCAAAGGTAAATAAAATCTCCCGCCACTTCATCATGAATCTATGAGTGTGCTGCTGCTAAATATGAACCGTGGAGGGATATTTCATTTCGCCCTGCTCATAACACCCAGAGGAAGAGAACAGCCTCTCATCGCAGCTGGACTATAAAAAAAGAAAAAAAAGAAAAACACGTCTGATGCTTTTTTTTTTTTGTTTCCATCTAAAGACAAAAACTGTGCTGCTCTGAGGGAGTCCTGTGTGTGTGTGTGTGTGGACATTAATATGGATGCAAACACACAGTGAGGATGCCCAGCGCTCATATCTGCGCATTTTTGTTTTGACGTGGTGTTTTTTTTCTTCTTCTTCTTCTTCTTCTTCTTCCTCTTCCTCTCGCAGAGCATGTTACGGAGGTCGCTTGCAGGAGGCTCCATGGAAAGCCCTTGAAAAAAAAACAAAAAAAAAACAGAATGGCGTTTTCCAAGAGGTAGTAACATTTAGTAACGTCGCATTGAATTGCATCATGGTTTTCGATCAGATCTCACCCCGGCCAGACTCCACCGAGCTGCCTGCCTCGGTAGTAGGTACAGTGCGCTGTTTATCATAAAAATGGAAGACCTTTCACGTCAAGAAAAGGCGTCATTCCGGTGATATGCGTCTGAATAACTGATTTTTCATCTCCACGTCAATTGACACATCTGGGAAAGCGTTTTTTTTTTTTCTTTCCCTCCCTTCTACCAAGACAGCTGTGTCATCAACAACCGGCGTGGTGTTGTTGTTGTCTGATTTTTACGAGCCCGGGCTTCTGGATATCGGCACAGTCTGCCTCTGCGCCAGCCACATAGGCTCCCCCGGTTACTAAGGTAGGAATACACCTTCATTAATATTATGTTTTTGCTCCATAAATCCCCGCATCAGCTTGCTTACATCACATCGCCTTCACAAGCAGCTGTCACAGCCCGGACGCACTGTCTGCCTAATTAGCATCAGAAAAAAAAAAAGAAAAGATGATTGCGGAGGAAAAACCTCGGGCCTGATCGGCTTTTTCCGCGTAAATTTCATCAAACACAGGGTTGACAGTGAGCTGCCGTGTGTCCACAAGCGAAATTGTTCAACCTTGAAGCCTCACAGCTCATGACGGTGGCTATAGGGCCCGTTTTTTTTTTTTCCAGCCCCCCAAAACACCGTGGAGATGTAAAGATATGTGATGAGCGCGCAGCGTAACGCGCAGCCCCGTGTTTAAGTTGGAAGTCGTGACAAGGTCTGATAAATATTTCACCAAAAAACAAGCCTCCATCAGCTGACTTGCTGGTGCTGGGGCATGCACGACGGTATTAAACAAATACCTACACCAGCAGAGCAGCAGTGTCAGCGGGAGGAGGAGGAGGCCGTACAGGGAAAACATCTGCATGTTTACAGATAAAAAAAGAGAATAACAGGGGTTATAATGCATGAGCTATGGGTGGTGAATACACTCGTAATGTGTGTGTATGTGTGTGTGTGTGTGTGTGCGTGCGTGTTTGTGTTTGTGCGCAGCCAGGTGAGGATGTGTTGGCGCGTCTTTGAGGTGCGGGGAGAGGCAGGCGTCTGGATGAGGGGAGCCGGTTCATCAGATGTGTGTGTGTGTGTGTGTGTGTGTGTGTGTTTAAAGATATAACATGATACCTGGTGATAAACAATCCCACCTGAACATCCTCATTAGGACCCCTCCTCCAAAGGGGTCGAGAGGTTGTGAATTAAACGTGTTCATAAGGTTAGTGAACACTATTCCGTCCCCCCCCCCCTTTTTTTTTTATCCGGGCGTGACAGCCACCAAAAAAAAAAAAAAACGTGCATCACACACACCCTGTGAGATTTCATCCTCACCACTCTGCCACAAGCTGAAAGAAACATCGATAAACAGTTATATCAGGCTGCTCAAATGAAAAGGTTTGCTGTGGATGTCTCGTTATACCTGACTGGCTTTAATGTGTCTTCCAATATTTCTTGGAAGAATTAGGAAAGGGCTGCCTTACTTGGCAAGAAATGCTACATCTATACCGACAAGACATTTTTTATTTTAAAGTGAGAAGTCATGTCAGTTATTTGGCAACACAACAAAAACCTTCAGAGACAATAACATGTCTGCCAAATACCATACATGTGCCAATCCACCTGAGTATGAAACATGTGTTTCTAAGGAGGATTTGTCTGTAAGGATAATGCACGAGCATAAAATACACCATCATTTGTCTGGGAGTTAGCTGAAATAAAAAAAAAACCTAATTACCATTCAGTCTGGCTTGACCTTGGAGCCGCATGTGACAAACGCCTTTTCTTCATACATGCTTTAACAGGCTAACAAATGCAGATAAACAGGAAGGTGTCTTTGGTGCTGTTTTGGTTGATGTTGGTGCAGGTACAGAGGAGAGCAGGGGATGGGTGAGAGCAGCTGCGAATTCGGGGTCATTGAGTGCAGTGCTGTGAGCTACACACACTGTGCAGAGTGTCTCGAATGCAGAAGAGAGCCGGCGCTCGCAGTTAGCTGTCGCCCGACTGTCCCTGCTCACCTGGTGATCCCAAATTTAGTACAGAAATGTGATTAAATCGAGGAAAACAGCAGGTCCAGCGTGTGCAGTGCAGTGTTGGGAATGGATGCAATCTGTTTGAATGGAGCATTCGAGTTCTAAATCAGGGGGGTTAGATACATGGAAATCAACTGCAGACTTTGGTTAAGAGGTATTAAAAGTTGGCAGAGCTGATGGTTGTGATGGATTACTGGAAAGAATTAAAAGTGAGGAGAGTTTTTCAGTAAAGGAGGAAGGACTCTGACTGAGCTTTTCTCCAGGAAGACGATGATTCAGTTGCTCTGATGAGACATTCAGACATCAGATTGAACGTTCATACTGGACCCTGCGAGGGCGGCGAGGGAAGGCCCACACAGGGGCCAGAGAGCACGAGGGGACTGATGGATGTGTCACAGACATGGCAGATTCTGACATTTTAAGCCCATGTCTCTAGTCGAGTGGATCCCCTCTGTCTGGATGATCAGTAATGGATTTTTTCTTTTTCCCTGCTGTGGACCTCCTGGAGCACACGAACAGGTTGTTTCCCCTGAGTTCGAGCAGCAGCAGGTCAATAGGTTTAAACAAATAATAAAAATGGATGCTACTGGCCAGTTGTGCGGGTGTTTCAGAATCAATAACAGCGTAGTTATGTGTAGCTGGCTCCAGTGTGTTGTTTCTTTGTTTAAGGGGACAGCAGGTGCAGCTCTGTCACAGAGAGAGATGGCAGCAGCAGAGATGGAGGAAGACTTGTTTTTGCTGCAGCATGAGAGCGATGTTAAGGGATGCTATCAGGTGAAAGATGAAGGATTTATAAGCTCTGCTTCTGCTTCTGAGGATATAAAGTTTTCATCAGGCTTCGGATCATCACAGTGGAGCAATATCAGCTGATTTGGACTCAGGAGTAATTCTCTTAGCGGGAAAAGAGGATTGTTTTTAGCTCACAGGCGGTTAAAGTTCCCTCCCATTACTCTGCTTCAGTTACCCCTCTACTCTCACACTGAGAGTGAAAAGAATGAAACAGTCCTTAAGGAAAGACAGGCGGAAAGTTGATTGCGAGGAGAGTAACTTTTTGTCAATGCGGCCAAACAATCAGAGTTTAAAATGTTACTTAAGTCCATATTCTGGCTTCTCAAATCTGATGATCTCTTATTTTAATTAATAGTAAACTGAATCTGGGCTTTCTGTCAGATAATACAAGACATCTGAACCTGTAACTTTTTGCTTTACAAATATTGAACAGTGAATAAATATATTTACATGGGACATTTAAGAACAACTCATGTAGACCAGAGTGCTGTACAAAATAAACAAGGGAGTGTACAGCAAGATTTTCTTTTTTCTGGGCTTTTTGTGCCTTAATTGGAGAGACAGGACAGTGGAGAGAGTTGAAATTGGGGCGAGAGAGAGAGAGAGAAAGTGGGGAATGACATTCGTTAAAGGAGCCGCAGGTCGGACTCAAACCCGCAGCCTCCGCATATGGGACACGCGAAAACAACCACCCAGTCACCAGGGCACAAAGGAGCGATGCTTTACAATTTATAAAGAGAAAATTCCTCTTATTTATCCACAATAAAAATAATCAACTAGATCACAGCCCTAAGCCCCTTGTGTCTTTTTATTTTTATTTTATAGAAATGTGTACTGGCATCAGATAGCTCCATTCTTCCCAGTTATACAGTTTACATATGTCTACCCAGAGATGTAATGTTCCTCTTTATGTGTGTAAGAGCAGGCTGGCGTCTTGAGATTATATGTCAAAGTAAGTTTAGTTTATGTTTATGTTTTTGTATCAGCAGGCAGAAGAATATTCAGATAATGTGATACAGATATTTCTTGGGACTCCTTTCTGTTCACAATTAATTTAAAACTCAGACATCACTGGAGACGTGGAGTAGACGGAAAGACGAGTCTGAAAGTGAAACTGCAGAGACGGAGACATCCTGACTGTAGTCACTTATAACCCTTTGGACTACACATCCCATTATGCACCTCAATGTAATCTCATGGGTAGACCTTCGCGGCTCACAACTTTGTAACCCAGACTGTTATGAATGTGTAACACCCAAGATCACCTTTAAACCCGGATGACATCACGGCGATGTCATCCTGTTGTTTCAGTAAGACTAAACCCAGCTAAAGTAAAAGCCCGGGATGACATCATAATGGTTTATTTTACCGAGTAAGGAAAGAGGTTTTTAAATCTTTAACAGTACGTCACTAATGTAGGTCAAATCAGATAACTTCACTTTGTTTTTCTTTCCTTTATTTAATAAAAACATGGATTCTTCATCGCTCTGGCTTCAAATCGATATCCTGTCCCCAGTTACCCTCTTCTTCTTCTTTTTTTGTTTTACTATAAACCCCGGTGTTTCTTGTGGATCAAATCTACTTTCCATGCACTTGAGTCAGTCACAGAGTTGAGTTATAAATAGTCTGAAGGTGTAAAGGTCCTCTCTGGTGGCTTCTTGATTAAAGGGCATGCCATTTACCAGCCATGTCCCGGGTACAAATCCTGCTCGGACATTGTTAGAAGTCAGCCCACTTTGTCTCCTGTCTCTCCTGGCTCTTTGCTCATCGACTGTCTAGTAAACAACACAGACGCCGTTAGAGATTTTCTGCTGTATCTCCCACTGAATGACATCGTGAAGGCATGTGGATTCAAAATGTCAGTTTAGGTATTGCAGTTTTCTATTTTGTATTGTGATGCACATGCAGCATATTTAAAGTGGCCTGATATCCCCTTTGCCAACTGAGTAAAACAGGATTTCTTTTCTTGTTTAACGAGTAGCCACGACTTGTTTGTGCTTTACTTGGGGAGCTCCCTACGCAGCCACACTCTTGTACTGGCTCACTGGGTGCTCCCCACTTTAAAGAGGTCAAACAAGCGCGTCCCTCGTCTGACCGGAGGATGTCTGGGACGCATACGGACCAATTGAGCATTTGAAAATTTGAAGTAAGCGCTCCCTTTAAATGCTTTTTCTGTCTGGTTTGTAAAGCATCTTACAGCATGCAGTCTTCATTGCAGTGTGTAGTCAAGAGTAATGATGTGTGGTAATGATTTCCTTGAGGCAACTCATCCTTGTTCATTCCCCCCTCTGTTTTCTTCTCATTAAACCCTTTCAAAGCCATTCACATGCTACCATGCAAAATAAATAAAGTTGGGAGCCAACGGTTGCTCCTCTCTTTTTTGGCTCAGAGGTCTCCGTCTCGAGCCATGTTAATCATCACCTATTTATTTGTATCCATGCAGACTCTTCCACTTGAGTAAACATGTCAGTTTTTTGGGGACGGGACACTAATATGTTTACATATGTGTG